CACATTAACACATGGGATTGATGAATTAGTTTTTAGATTAGATTAGATTTTCCATACCACCTGTCAAATTTGCAGCATCTCATGCTATATTGCTCAGCTGTTACCCGTATTTTTGGAACGTCAAATGAGGTGATGTTTAACATCATTTTACTTGGGCTTCATCTCTTCTCCATCCTTCTGTGTGTTGAATGAGTATTTAGTGAGAATTTAAGTGTTCTGTAGACAGCTTTGGTCTTAACCTTGAAGAGGACAACTTGTTTTGTAAATTCCCTGTACATCAGGCAGGCCTCTGGACAGGGAGAGTGCCAGTCTGTATTGTCTTACAGACACCCTGAGACACCTTTTTTCAAAGATTCCAAAGACCTGCAAATTATTGATCGATTAATTAAGGAAGTAGTTTGTCCTTGAGGGCCAAAGAACATTTCAGTTTACACGTCTCAAAGTTTTTTCATCTTAAAAATCACTTGTTAAACTGCTCAGTTAAATTGTTCCCAGCCATTCAGAAATGGACCCTCTAAAACATGCTGGACTGAGGTCTTCTAGGAGATAAGTTGGCGATCCTTGTTCTACACGGACAGAAACTGACGACAGTATAACACTTTTATTACTGTCTGTAAATAATGCTTTTGTTCATCCATCCAATTTCTTACAGCTTCATTCATTTCAGGGTCATCAGGGAGCCTGAGACTATCCCATCAAGCAGTGGGTTCAAGATGTGGTACACTTTTGATGCCCTAATGCAAACATGCACACACTCACACCAGGAACCAATTTCCCAGAAGTCCTTTAACCTCCCATTATACAGTTGCACTATGGGAGGAAACAGGAGCACCTGGAGGAAACTCACCCGGACATGGAGAATATAAAAAATCCACACAGCTACAGTAGCACCCCAGGTCCAGAACTGAACTCAGGGCCCCAGCTCTGCTATACAGCAACGTTGTCCACTGTCCCACTCTCATTGTTTTGTGTCCCCCTCACAACAAATTCATCAAAAAATCATTTAAAAAAAGGATTTATGCATCATTTTGAAAAAAATATGTACTAACTGAAGGTGGGAAAATATTTTTCAGTGTTTTACTTATTTTTCCCTTTTTTATTCTAGACCAGATCAGTCACAGGCTACACACAGCCTCACATAGATTATACAATCTCACGCTTGGCACTGGAGAGCAAAGGTGTTTCTGTGTGGTTTTCAGTCTACTTGAGCCCTTAATGACTTGATTGGACTTAATTACAGTTGTTTCCAAGTGTTTAGTCTTTGGAGTTTGGGTGCCTCATGAGTTGTGGCTTTCGATGAGAACACTGGAGTAGAGCAATATTTATAACCCGGCTCTGCAGGGCTTTTTTTTAAACTCTGCTCTGGGATGACAGTCAATTTATTTAAATACAGTATTTCCAGTGCTGTTTTCAATTATAACACGGTCAGACTGAGAAAACGAAGGCTTAAGGCACTGAGAGTGCGGATGGAAGAAATACCACATAGACTTCGTGACGTGTCCCAATCCACATTTTGGGCAAGAAAGTTCACAAAGAAACACAACAGCTCACCTGATGAGCCGTCTATTTAAATTTGGAGGAAAAAATATGCCAGTAGTTAATAGCCTTTTATTTCGTTTTCGGTTTACTTCTCTTGGGCCCAAGCTACTCGTCGGATTCAAATGTTGGTGCGGGGTTGTTCTTTTAAGCATTATTCTAAGAAAATGGTATTAATGCATAACTAGACTTCGGGACAATAAATTCACCGCTTGCAAACACCGAGAAAGCGTCGACTTGTTAATGAACAGCAACTAAATTATATTAAAACAACCGTTTGGTTCAACATTTTAATACATACTACCTGGAATTTAAACCATTATTCGGTAGCGATGATTCATTTACTTTTACAGTTCACAGTGTAAACAGTATTCACAGATAAACTGTTATATCTGGTATTGCATATTTTAAAAATTCTCTCCGGTTTTAGGTGGCGGGATATTTTTCTACGGTTTTTAATTTGCCAACTCAATTTTCTTCTGCATCTCAGTTCTTAGTGATACGCATAATAGTCTTAGACCAGCACTCTATTGAATTTATTTCTACAATCATTGGATTTTAATACAGTTGCGATTGCTATACCAAAAATGAGCCACTAGATGGCACCGACATCAAACAATTTCCATTCTGCACAGAGCCACATAGTTTGACCAAGCCGACCAATAATCGGTCATCCTGCAGGTTCATTCCTATTTGCCTTTTGACGAGAAAAATCAAAACTGGTGCTTTGAAAACCTGCAGATACACCAGTCCTCTAGGACTAGGACTGCCTGTCCCTGCATAGACAATCAAACCCTTGCGTTACCTGAATCAGTCTGTCCATCTAATCCTATCATCTCTCTTCCTTTCCAGAAGTCAAAATCTCCCAGCAGATCTCCTGTTTTGACTGAAGAAGGATTTGTAGCCAACATATAAGAAGAACAAAAAAGTTTTCTCTTATTTCAGTCTTGTTTGGTTGAGGAAAATAAGGCATCGTGTCCTTTTGCAGTTTTCTCTAATTTTCCACTAAAACCAGAGGTATGGAATAAAATTTGAAAGAATTAAAGAACAACATTGCACAAAAAGATAAGCTTGAGGTGAGAATCAATCTCATGGTGCCAGGTTTTGGTAGTGAAGGATATGCATGTGTGCTTGATTATATGGTCTGATGCCATTCAATGGTGATGCAGCTGAGGAGTATACAGTAGTTCAGGAAATGATCACTGATTTGCTTCCATCTGTGAAATGAAATGAAAATACATTTACAGCCCACAGTAATGACTCTGAAGCCAGTAAGAGGAAATGTTTAGGAAGTTGTGCAGCATCCTGATGGCTGTGTGTGCTGTCAGCCACCTCTCACCAGATGCACACAGACTGGAGTGGAGACTTCATACTCCCTTTGCTGTGGTTTGCTCGGTTTCTGATTCTGTATCGGCTGCCTTTATCCATAACAAGGGTTTTCTTCCTGTCTGGATGTTGCACAACGCTGGGTGGTGGCTTCTGTTATTTCATCTCCTGGTAGTTGTGTATTGTTTTGTGAGTGTTACTCTCCAGAATTACTCGTGGTAAGTACAGTAGGTGTTGCCTTAATATGGTATCTCAGTACTGTTTTCTGGGGCAATCATTCAGACTTGAGATCTAGAGAGAGTGTCTGCCTTCTTTCTAGCAAGCAGTTCAGCTTTTGCACGCTGCAGTGTCTCCTTATATCCTCTCAATCCTCTCATCCCTCTGTTGTTGAACAAATAGCCTCAAATCCTCTCACCACCCAATGCCCCATGAATGGTCTCTCTCATAGTCCCAAACTGTGGATCTGTAGCACTGTGGATCATGGATCAGTGGAATCAAACTCCATTGCGTTTTCTTTGGTCCAATGCAAGTGATCAAATAAGCCAGTAACCTACTTATTTTCGTGACCTTGGATTTCTCTTGAGGTCACATTAAAGTCTTCACTTTCTTAAAGGTGCGTTACTTAGAAGACATCTTGGAGCCTGGTGAGGAGTATGACAACTGTGCAGTTCTTTAAATGATTTAGACCAGCTGTTGTAGAACTCGTTTGGAACAAAAAAAGATGCCAGGCCGTCCAGGAAGCCAGTCCGACACCCCTGCCTTAACATGTTTCTTCCTAGTTTGAAATTCAGCGATGTTTGTGTTTTAACTGTAACTGCACCTCTAACACAGTGGTGACATAAATAAATGTTAATCGACCACATATCCCAATGCCAGAATACTGAAACTCCTTAAAAGTGCCACCTCCCTGTCAGAGGGGATCCTGACTTAGAGGCATTCAGTCACAATCCATCAGGTGGTAGCTTCACACCTTCATGTTTCTGTGTCAGGTGGGGGGTCTGGATCAAGGTGTATTATTCTGGGGAGGGGCAGGGAGAGGTAGCAGAAACTGTGATTTATATACAGTATGACTGCGAGACCTTGCTTGTGATCACCATTCAGACAAAGGTTTGTTTTCTGTAAACAGGGCAAATTCCTAAATGATCGGTTAGGTCTCTCTCTATTGCCCTTGCCTTTTTTTGATGCACATATTATTTCTTTTGTGCATTTAATGTGTTTATTTATCATGCATGGCAAATATGTGGTATAATAAAAACCACAGGACATTTGCTTAAATAATGAATGTCTTTTAGTTTTAATAAAGTACAATTTAAACTTTGTGGACTTGAATTGTGTGCCATTCTTTATTCTGTTGACCACGGTTACATGTAACTTTAGTGTCTCCACAAGCATTAGGACTATTGCAGTGCTGATATTTCCTTTCACTGCTTGTTGGACTATATTTTTCACCAACATTTCTATTTAAAAGTTAATTAAATTTAATTTCACTCCTGTGCTGCCCCATGTAAAGCTAACTTTGCAACTTATTACCTTTTTAGTTTCATGCTTACGTTTATAATCCCTTGTTAATTCCCTTGAAATAAGTCTATAGGCAAAAATAAATAATGAAAGCTTGTTTTTTTATTGAATCATTGGGCTAAAATCATTTTAGCGTTATGAGGAACTCGACAAGTAAAAGCAATAAGGTGTTATTTTTAATAACGTTTTAATGTTGTTAAAAAGTTAAAATAATGAAGGATGCCTTCAATGTGTGATTCAATCAATCAATCGATGTTTATCAAATGCACAACAATACAGGAGTATTACAGGAGTAGTTGCTGGCAATGAAATGTCTTTTCTAGGAGCTCACCGGGGTATAAAAATGACAAAATTAAGGCTATAAAATAAGGTTTGATAATAATAGATAATAATGCAATAGAAATGGAATAAAATCAACTCAGACAAAACTCAATCTAAATAGAGCTGCTATGTGTCCAGGCTGTATGCAATATATTATGTCCAAGTAGTGCAGTATGCCGAATACAATGAAAACTGTGTGTCCATGTAGCCATTACGGGTGATTTGCTGAAGGAACTGCAGCTTGGCTATTTAGCAGTCTTATTGCCTGGAGGTAGAAGCTGTTCTGTAATCTGTTGGACTTGGACCGAATGCTTCGGTACCGTTTACCGGACGGTAGGAGAGAATTTGTTTGAATTTTTTTGTTGTTTCCATTTGATACCTCTCTGACCCATTCAGAAGGTCTGAGGTACACATACAGGGCTGTGTACGGTTTGACATTCTTACTCTTACTCGCTTCATTCATTTAAACTTGTTAGCCATTTACAAAGGCTTTTTCTGTAATTAGGTTGCTGCCATTATTCAGCTGCATTTGATTAGGCAATGCAGATCAGACAGCGTGCCATCTGATTTTAATTTTGCCCCCTCATCCTCAGCTGAAACACCCCAACCTACAATTTCTAGCTGTACTGTGACTCAGAGATAATACGGCCATGCAAAATCCACAGCAGGTGGCCATGTGTGGGACTGATGCTTACACAATGGGAGGAGAACTGGACATTTCTGCTCCTGTGCACACTGAGTTAATCACTTTCACTTGAGAGTGGTTACCAAAATAGATCCAGTCTGGTTAATCAGAGGCACTGGGCTCAAAAGGGGTGTGCAGCCCCAGGAGTCACTATCTGTTATATCTGGCTCAGATTTTTATGTAGCTCCAGATCTCCTGTCCTGCCTGCCTTGAGTCTCACTAGTTCAGCACCCAAACAGGAAGCTCTGTGCTCTCCAGTGAGTGATAGGAAGAGCCGAGAGCTGAGAGCGGAGAGCTGAGAGTAAGATTGTATGTGCCTTGCAAAGTCTGAGATTTTTTCCTTATTTCATCTTATGTTTCAGCCTTTTCACCCCCAAGCCCTTTGGTTGGTAGATTTTTTGTCATTTTAATTGGTTTGCTGTTTCCTTTTTAACTGGTCAACATGAATGTGCACAGATCTTGTAGTAATATCTTGTATCACTGGCACAATCCCGATCTGTTAATATCCTGTGTTTTGCCATTGAAAAACATGAAAACAGCAGTTGGTGTTGTGATTCTCTCTGTTCTATGCAATGTTTGCACAGGTCAATTAAGCATAAATTCTTCATTATAATGACAACAGCAGGAACCTTACAGGAGCATTTTTAGTTTTTCCTAAATTAAAATTGGCGAATTATATTTGTAATGTAGATTTTGTTATTTTATTTGCACTGGATCTGGAATAGCCAATTGTGTTTTTCCTGTCACTGCTCGCTGAGCTGCATGGTGGACAGAATAAATGACTTTCCCATCTCCTCACCAATGAGTTGTTGTTTTTTAACCAACCAAAAAACATGATGCATAAGTTTAATCTTATAGTAATGTTACAGGACACTAAATAGTACATCATTGGGAGTGTTTCATCTGAGACTAAATTATGGAAAGGGAAAATACAGAATTTCCACTCCACTTCTTACATCCCTCCCAAAAAAGAGTAAAACGAAAGAGGAGGACGACAGAAGACACAAAGAAACAGCTAGTGGGTCTACCATTTTTAAAAGTATATTGAGACTTTGAGTCTACCCTCTATACCCTAGAACCGAATCTGTCTCTAATTGGCTGCTCAGATAATATTGGATAGGACTAGCCTTTTGGTTTTTTTTGCTTCATCTTATTAACACTTCTTGGGCACCACTACCAACACTATCATGTGCACCTCAGGAATCAGTATGTCACCACGATCCCAATCCTGATAAATAACTAATTCCACCACACCCTTGGTAGCACTTAGTCGGTTGTACACTGCCTCTGGAAGAATCCCGGTCACACTTGGTTAGTGACATGGTCCAGACTCGGACCTGTAAACCCAGAGAGATCACCCTGCACTTCAGCTCTCTCAGCAGCAGTTTGGTACAACGGAGCAGCACATGTAGGACTTGAACCTACAACCCTCCAGCCTGTTCAGAATCCTAAGGTTGTCTTCTGTAAAAGTGACTCTGTTGTGAGTGTGTGTGTTTGTGCCCTGTGATGGACCGGTGTTCAGGGTGTTTCCTGCCTTGTGCTCATTGCTTGCCAGGTTAGGCTCCGGCCCTCCCTGTGACCCTGTACTGGATTTGGTGTGTTGGAAGATAGGTGGATTAAATTAAATATTTACTCTGTAGAACAGGAACTAAACCGATCAACCCTCATCCGGCCTTTTCTCACTTTCCTATGTGGAAAACGGGATACCATATTTCTTGATGTTGCTGCATTCAGGGATTTCAAAATGGTTCTCTAAGAAGGGCACTATTGAAAAATAATACCATGTCTGCAGAACTGCCGGCACTCCACTGTGATATGATCTGATAGAGTGCGCATGGCAGTATTAGTTTCCAGTACAGAGCTATATTAGGGCCTAGACTCACATCTCCTACCCTTTGAATTTTGGTGTGAATGGAATGCCACTTACTGAAAAAGGGGCGGCTAAAAAAGTACAAGATAAGGTTATTTTTTAAAAAAAGCTCAACTACAGAGAGCTTTTTCCCCAGCCAAAACTAACTTGGAGCCTTCTCCACCCTGTGAAACCATGATATCCTTCAGAGGGGTGGGTCTGCAGACTTGACTCAGTGCTGGCAGTGCTCTCTCCTTTGAAGTGGTACAGCTCTCACTCAGCACTTCAGTCAATGAAGGTGACTGTGTGGCGCAGGACTGGCCTGTCTCTGCCACACCTGCACATGTGGCCTCAGATGAGGATCCAGCTGTCTGGGGCCCCTGCTGACAGGTGGGGGAAGTTGGAAACCTAAGAAGAAAGCAAAAAAAAAAAAAGCCCAGGTACCGTAAGAGTGAATGGAAGCCCGTCATGTGAAATAGTGAGACACTCACGGTGTGATGTGGTCCCACTGGAGTTGTACAAATTTTTAAGGCACTTACTATATGCTGTAGCGGAAAGGATGGGACCACAACATCTTTGCAAAGTGCATGAGAGTGGGTTTGAGCTTTAAATGAGATGAACAAGCTTCTTGGCTTTTAAAAAGTTGTGCTTAAAAAAATACCCAAGTTCATTAAAGGGCATTGCATAGCTCATGCATCAGGCCTGCTAATTCCTTTCTGCAGTCTCCCTCTCACAGCAACACTGCACGTTTTTATCACTGTATGCATGCCATTAAATATCCAGTCCACTTTGCTTGCACAACCTCGATGCAAGTCACACTATCCGCCGTGCCTTGCTGTGCCAACAGCTTTGTTTTACTTCCTTCGTTACGTATTGGTGTCCTTGAAAGTCTTTGTTAAAAAAAAAAGAATTGAAATGCTGTGATTCAGAGATGGGGCTTTGCGCTCCACAGTGGACTACAGCGCAGGCTTAGAATGACATGTATCTCGTGGCGCAACCATGGACAAAATTCCACATCCACGTTTTGGTGCCAGGGACACTGGGGTCGCTGTAATTATGCATCACAAATGCACTTCCTACAGTCCCTGGCAGCCAGTCTCCGCTCCCGCTGAGAGGCAGATTGGAGCTGCTGGGATGTCAACTGCCCCCAGCAACGAGAGTGTAATGGAGAGAGGGAAAGGGCTCTGCATCTCACAGTACCTCACTAAATACCATGCAGCGTGCCTCTGGGGTTGAGGGGGTGTGGATAGGGGAGAAAGATGCCTGTGTTGTATTTCAGAATAGCTTAACAGTAAGTTATACTCGTCCTCTCCACCTAGTGCTTTAATGTGGACTTGTTTAAATGTGTTGAACAATCTATAGCACCATGCTCGGGAAATACCAAAATCTGGTGTTGGTATCACTTAGTGGATCGTGGGCTCCAGATGGGGGTTCATCCAGTATTTGTGCTCTCTTTGAGCACAGACTGAGCTCAGCTCAAAGATCGCAAATATTGAAAGCTGACACATGAGTCACTGGACTGCAATCTGGATTTCCCAGACAACAGCACACAACATGTTGTGTACTGCTAGTTGAAGGTTAGGACTTACTCGGCCAGGAGTCTGTCAGCTTTCTGGGGAAATGATGGTAGGCTCTTGTAGGTGCCCCTCCAGTTCAGTGAGCCAGTTTTTATAACAGTTGACAACTCCAGATGTCTGGGTCTGTAGCCAAAAACAACAGATTTCAATTTTAGAAACGGATTTTTAGTGGACCATATTGTTAGAGCAGTTCATATTATTGTGCTTTTCTCTTTGTGTATCTGTTCAAGGAATGCTATAATGCAAGGAGACCAATATTATTTCAGAAGAGTGGCAGTAGAATTGGTTTTAAATGATACAATTTTATAAATTTTATATATGGAGCATCAAAAGAAACTTAGCACTTGCAAAGTCCACAAAGTCTTATGATAATCTTGTAGCATGTGTACTGATGTTTTATAGAGAATTATATAAAAAGAATTCTCCAAAGAATTATGCTGAGTAACATCTGTCACCTGCAGGACTGATCAATGGTGGGTTTTACTAAGAAAGTAGCAGGCTTGTCGTGTGTGTAACCACCACTGAAAGCAACACAAGCTGTGCCTCTGTGACATATGCTTGAAGTCAGACTGCCTTGTGGGATTCTGTCCCACTACAATCATAAAGCACGGTCTTGCTGTGTCCTGGGTTCAGCACATTGCCAGCTCATCTCACAAATGTTCAACGGAGTTCCAGTCTGGCACATGGGGATCCACCTCCTCATCTCTTGAGAAAGCCTTTCTCATGTGAGCAGCATGAGGAAGCGTGTCCTGCTGGAATCTTGTCACACCCGGAAGAGCCCAGAGGAAGGGTAGCAAGTGAGGTGATAGGACATGATCAAGGTGTTGCTAAGCAGGCAGGCCATCAATCATGCATAAAAAGATGCATAGGCCCAAATCATTTTCGGTATATTATTTGAAAACAAGTTCTTCCCCTTTAGAAGAGACTTATTGTAATGGTTTAATTTCTTTTAGCTGTTTAATTGTTTTTGTTTGAGTGATCGTTAATGTTACTGACAGTAACTTCCTTAAATTCAGCCCATGACCAAGAATGGCCACCTCTTAACAACATATGTTCCCTTTAGGTAATTTTCCACAGTCATTTGTTCAACAGGCACAGTTCCAGAAGAGACTTCTCAAAACAGCCTGTAAATCCCTTTCCCCCAGCATAACATCCCAGTGGTGCTCAGACTGAGAAACACTTGCAGACTGAATAACACTAAAACTCACCCCCCTGCCCCTTCCTCCTTATGTTCACTGTCGAGGAGTCTTTTCTGACGTCTTGCTAGGCAGAAACAACAAGAGAGAAGCTCTAAAAACATGCATAACAGGAAATGCAAAACATGATCACAGAAAAACAAGAAAGCCAGTGTTATCAATTTCCTCTACATGCTGTTCCAAAGATCCCACAGCCCCTCGGTGGTTCTGAAAGGTGAAGAAAGGTTCTGTGAAGGTGTTTGTAATTTAATTAGGTGGCTTTGCAGAGTGCCTCAGCTGCTTGAAAAGCATTGGCTTAAATGACATTGTTTAAGAAAGGTTATGGTTCTTGCTAAGGTTATAATGTGGGTGTCTTATTCGGCTGTCAATGATCAGACTTCCCTCTTTGGTTTGAAAAGCTGGCTGCATACAGAAGTCTAACACGCCGTAGAACAAGAAGACGAATTTGCTAAGCTTAATAAAATCTGTACATAGCAAATAGATATGGAGGCTTATGTAATTTATGGAGCTCAGAATACAGATATCCTGACTGGTGCATCACTGCTAACTTAGTTAATTTGATAAAGTTCTTAAATGGTGTGTTAGCTGTGGTCTGTTCTGCCTTAGCACTAATCCTACAGTGCTTACAGGTACCTACACTAGGACTGAGAACTAAATCTATTGATTTATTACGAATTATTTTTCCTGTACAAGGAATTTTACACAGCAGGAGGGCTTAATTCTAAAGTGTTACAAATATCAAAGATAGAGCAGCACAGTGGTGCAGTGGTTAGCATTGATGCCTTCCAGCATTGGGTCCCTGGGTTCAGTTTCTATTGTATCTGTGTGGATCTGTATGGACTCCCTGTGTCTGGGGATTTGCTCTGGGTGCTCCAGTTTTCTTCCAAAGTCAAAGGACATACTGGTAGGTTAACTGTCTTCTGGAAAAAACTGGCCCTGGTGTGAGTGTGTGCATATCTGTGTCTGTGTGTACCCTGTGATTGACTGGCATCCCATCCAGGATGTATCCTGCCCTGTGCCCATTGCTTGCTGGGATAGGCTCTGGCTCCCCCACAACTTGCATTGGATAATAGAAAATGGATAGATGGATGCATGGAATTAGTACAGATATAGGTTTGCCTGATAGCTTTAAAAAAACTGCTTCACTACTTTTTGTTCATAGGAAAGGACAAATGGCCAACTGGTGCATTGTCTACAATTCCACCTTTCCTCATTATATCTCAGCCTTCTCTGGCTCAACCTTAATAAAACACTGGAAAGGAAAAAAGGTGATGGTTTTCATTCACTGTGCTGTTGAACTGTAAAGAAAGACATTCATTAGGAATTGGAAATTTCAAGGAAGATCTGGAAATGACTTGTGATCTTTCTTTCTCTTTCTCCATATCTATTTGATATGTCTGAGGGGCATTGTGTTTCTCCTTGGAAAGATACAATTCTAAACACAGCACCTGCAAATATGTCAGATTCATATTCATGGAATATATTTCACAATGTTCAAGTTAAATAAAATTAGGCATCTGGGATATAGAAGCTTTCTAAATTTTCCTACAATATTTGTGCTAAGTTCTCAAAATGTCTCATGAATACTGTACCGCTAGGACGCAAACAATTAAATGGATTATTTTTTGCTTGAGGTCTTTTAAATTTTAGCTTTATTAGAAGATAAGGCACATTCATCCACCCTGAATAAGTACACAATAATCATTACAGAGTTTATAAAAAAAATGCGTGGACAACTGTGTACCTACAAACATAATCTGGGTTTTTTCCATCCAGGAACCATGGTTTAACTGCATAATTTATTCCATGCTTCCAATCATGGGCTTTTACAGTAAATCCGGCGACTTAGAATTGTAAAAGAAAACCAGGTACAACCTCCGGAAAGCCATTAGAAGTGCTAAAAAAGAATACAAGAGCAAGGTAAGAACTGCAGTCTGTCACCTCTAATAGTCGGCGTATGTGGCAAGGATTATAGGCCATCATGGACTTTAAAGTGAAACTGAGTGGAGTCAGATCCTAACACCTCTCTCCCAGATGAGCTTAATGTCTTTTATGCCCAATGGGGCTACTGTGAAGATTCCCAGCTGCTTCAGGTTCCTGCCCATTCACGTCACCAACAACCTGACCTGGTCCCATCACATACTGTAGATTAAGTAATTACAAGAACACACCAGCGCCTCTACTTCCTCCTGAGACTCAACAGATTTGGTACTATATGTGTTCATAAACACTAATTTCTATAGATGCACTATAGACAGTATTCTCACTGGATGCATTACAGTTTGGTATGGAAATTGCTCAGCTAGTGAATGTAAAAAAAAAAACTACAGAAGGTGGTGGAGACAGCTGAGGCCATCACAGGTACAGAACTCCCTTCCATCCAGACCATCTTCACCACACTCTACCTCAGAACAGCAAATAATATAATCAGACAAAAACTACCCTGGAAATGCACTTTTCTGTCTTCTTTCTGGCAGAAGATTTAGGCGTATAAAAATCTGAACCTCTAGGTTCAAAGCCCACAGCCATAAGACTCCTAAACTCCACCTCTTGAGTCCACTCCCACTAACACCCCCTCTGTTTTGCACTGAACCTAGAATAGTACCACCACTAGGCATAAACAATAAACTTGAACTTGAAGGTGTGCAGATGTGAAGGGTTTTTTGTTTTTGCACCCTTCCCGATGAAAGATTTCCTTACAATCTCTTCACATAAGATGAAAAAGAATGTCTGTTGTCCTTATTAAAATCCCCCAACAATTTGAAGGATCTGTGAGGGGCTATGGGATTAAAGCAGAGTTAGCTAAGGACATTTACACCTCAAATTTAGAGTTAGATTCATCAATTTACACCACATTGCACAATGTGTGGTGTGCCTTATTTTTAGTAATTAGAGTGGTGGTAGTAGAGAAAATAAAATAGAATAGAAGCATGACAGCTCGCAAGAAGATAAAGAAGATTACAAACCAAGGAGGCCATTTAGCCCAACAAGCCTGTTGGCTAGTAAATAGCTTATTGCTCCAAGTTTCTCATTCAGATTTGTTTGAAGGAAGCAACTCACTTCCTTAAAGGGGAACTGCAAAGCTAATTTTACTTTTCAGGGTAAGAAAGAATTGGCAATGATGAGTGAATTCCAAACCAGAATGAAACTGCCAGGTACATGGGAACATGCAGAACCTCCAATTCAGATCACAAAAGAGTCAGAGTTTCAATGTACGTGTGGTGCCATATTGCTGTCATTGTTTGCCATTCAGAACAAGGCAAAAAAAAAAACCTCCAGTAATGCAGACATGGCCCTGTTACATTGTAAGCATGCTTTAGACCAAGCAACTTTTGCTACTATACTAATATTAAATATTTTTATGAAACCGACACATACAAGGCAACACATTTCTAGATACATTTAAGTATTGCAAAAAGAACAACCTGCTAAACAACTAAACTGATAATTAATGTTGTAATCAGACCACGTTTCACACTTGCTTTCAGCGACTAGTGAGCAGGAAGGGTCACTTTCACATCACAATTTGTGCAGCCTCTTGCTCTCGCCTTTGGCAAGACCAGCAGTTTCTCATCTGCCTGCAACAAAATGGCAACCATTTAGTACTTTCACAAAGTTCATGATTTTACACTTAATTTGGAATTTGTTAAAATGTACATTAACGTCAATTAATTAATTACATTTGTTATGGAGAAATTGGAACTGCAATTCCCCCTTAATTGGGCTAAACAACAGGTTGGGTAGCATGTTCCATTCACCCACAATCCTTTGTGTAAGGAAGTGCCTTCTGTTCTCAAGAAAGAGCAGGACATCAGAACACCAGCACCATATCACCAAACATACACCAGGATCAATTATTAGTAGTTATAATATAAATGTGAGCATTATAACATTTTACTGGGAGGGATTTGCATGACTCAGTATAATAAAAACCACATGTGCTCTGGGTTTTGTGTCAAACGATTGGCTAAGCTATGGCCCACTTGTGATGCTCTGATATTTTCCCATGAACACAATGTTGAACTGTGTCACTGTAATAAAAAAAAAAGACTGGCCTTTTTTGTAGACATGGCCAATCGACAGTTACTGCTAGGGAACCTTGTTGCACTGACAAACCAGTGGCTCAGATACCTTTCTGTACTAAAGAAATTCAGTGGGGAGAACTCACTCAATACAGAACCGAACCACATTGAATGTGACAGGCAACATACAGAGAAAAACAATGACAACTTCTATTGAAACTACAAAACATGAGAAACAAATACTGTACAGAAAGAATCGAATGAAATAAACTGTGCAAAGGAATTTACAGCTTCCTTTATAGGAGCATTCTTACATGTGCTGTGACATGCTAAGATCAAAGTTTTAATTGTGTGGTTGACCTGATTCATTTTAGGGGTAATAAACCAAGGGTTCAGCAAACTTATTTGCCTCATGAGTTTAATAACACACTGTAGTTTACTTGAGTTCGAAAGGCCAAAATGTGCTCGCACCAAGGAGGAATGACTTTTGCACTACACGCAGAAACAGCTGTGAAAGGTCAAGAGATCCCTTTGCTTCGAGCCCATCAGGTGATTGCGAAAATGTAGTGAAACGCTGAATAATGAATGCTGCATTAACACATCATACTCATAACTGTGCCAAAATGTGATGCTGCAATTCCTTTGGGCATAACAACAAGTATGAATTATTTTGGCTCTATCTGCTCAAATCTTGTCAGAACAAAGTTCATTAATGTCCACAAAATGTCTGTGAAATTAGTTTTACAGCACTACTGACAGGGAATGAAAAGCCTGTAGTCTTTCTGTTAATTTCATTTGGGGGATAGTCCCAAAACTGCAATTTTAGCTCCAAACATTCCTGAAACGTATAAAAATGCAAGCATGATTCAAATAATATTTCCTGATGTGCCTTGAAATCCAAACTTATACCCTGATATGCTTTTTCATGTTAATTCTCTGCAAATGCTTCTGTGTTGCTTATTTGTGGTGCTTACTGTTTTAACAGAAATAGCTGTTCCAGGAAGATGTGAGGTAAGGAAGTTAAGAGGTTAAATCTGAAGAAGAC